ACTAAGAAAAACTCCTTTTACGATAATTTACAATTAGATAGGGTTCCAAATTTGTTGCAGGAATCCATAGATGTAGCCTTTACAAACATAGATGAAAGTATTAATTGTTAATCCCGGGCTTTGTGTACGGCAGCAGAAGGAATGCGGAAACTTGTTTGTGGTACTCCAAAAACTAGCAAACCTTGGTATGATTTTGAATGTGAACTCTACAAAAAGGAAAGATGTAGGGCATTAAATAAATTCAGGACACTTAAGGACACCCAGTCTTTGCAAGAGAATAACTTCGCACGGAATAAATATAAGGCAGTTTGTCGTAAACGAAAAGAAGCATATAACGGAGAGAAATTAAAACTATTAGAAAATTCTAACGATAACCCCAAAAAGTTTTGGGAAGTGTTAAAAAGTTTAAAATGTACTAACTTTACGTTTAATACGATAAAATTGGAAGACTGGTTTAATCATTTTAAGGGATTATTTGACGATAGATCGTTTTGGAAAATACTGTTGAGAATGATATTACAAGGGATATCTTAGATTCACCAATTTCAGAAGATGAGATAAGAGTAAGCATTCGGCATCTTAAAAATAATAAATCTGCAGGAATAGATAACCTTATCCCGGAGTTATTCAAACACGTTGAAGATTTATTAACGCCATACCTACTGGTAATGTTTAATTTAATGCTTGAAAAATCTTACTTTCCTAAATGTTGGGATGTTGGTATTATCGTTCCCCTATTCAAGAATGATGACCCAAATATGACTGACAATTATCGAGGTATTACACTTCTTAGTATATTTAGTAAAGTTTTCTTGTATATCATCAATAAAATACTAGTTTTTTGGTCCTACGCTACAGATAAAGTCAGTGAGGCACAAGCAGGATTTAGGGAAGGATACTCAACCACGGACAATATTTTTTATTTTGTATAGTCTCATTCAGCGCTATATATCAAGCAAAGGGGGTAAATTTTACGTTTTATTTGTTGATTTCTCTAAAGCTTTTGATTCTGTGGATAGAAGTAAATTATGGATGTTATTTACCAAGCATGGCCTGAGCAGTAAAATGGTAAAACTATTATGTAACATATATAAAAATGTAAAAGCATGTGTAAGAAATAACGGTGTAATGTCCACCGCTTTTGACTGCAGCATTGGTGTACGCCAGGGATGTATACTTAGCCCTTTTTTGTTTGTCTTCTTTATTAATGAACTAGCTACAGCTGTTCATCAGAACTGTACAGATGGTATACAACTTCATCCAGACATTGTCAAGCTTTTCCTTCTGTTATTTGCTGATGACATTATCATGTTTTCTAGTACGGTGAAAGGATTGCAGAATCAAATAGCAGAATTAGAAGTTCATTGTTTAATTTGAAAATTAATACAAATAAGACAAAAATCGTCGTTTTAAAAAAAGGTGGCAAATTATCAAGGTTTGAAAAGTGGTTATCTAAAGGTCAGTGTTTAGAAGTAGTTAAGGGTTATAAATATTTAGGTGTGTATTTTTCCAATACGTTGACATGGAATACACATGGAAATAATGCTGCTGTACAGGGAAAGAAAATATTGTTGGGCATGTTCAGTAGTTTAAAAAATCTTGGGGCTGTAAACTATAGAATATATTTCAAAATATTTGACACGAAAATTAAACCCATTCTTTTATATGGGGCAGAAATTTGGGGATTTACACAAATAGATGCTCTGGAAAAAGTTCATTTATATGCTTGTAAGAAATATTTAGGAGTTAAAATGAATACCCCAAACGTAATGGTTTATGGTGAATGTGGACGAGTCCCTTTGTGTATAGAAGCACGTCTGAAAATAATAAAATATTGGATAAGACTACTTAATATGCCCTCAACAAGATTCCCTAAGAAATATTACAATATGATGTGTTTGTATGATAGCAATGGCAAAACACAATTGGGTAACCTACTTAAGGAACCTGCTGAATAATTGTGGTTTTGGTTACATTTTTAAATTAGAACATATTGCTTATCCGAAGTTGTTCATAAATGCTATAACACAAAGATTATAAGGTTTATATTTTCAGTCATCGAATGCAACTCTCACGCGTTCCCCAAAGTCTCTGTAATATAGCAGTTTCAAGTCATATATCATTGCAGAGCAATACCTTTTCAGTGTTAGTCTTAGAAAATTTAGGGTAGCACTTGCAAGATTCCGATGTTCATCACACGATCTTTTAATTGAAAAAGGTAGATATCAAAATATTCCGAGAGAAAAAAGACTCTGTCCACTATGTGACCTAGGATTGATTGAGGACGAGTATCACTTTTTACTAGTATGTCCGCATTATGATGAACTAAGAAAAGTATATTTACCAAAATATTTTCATGTAAACCATTGTACATTTAAGTTTTAAATTATTACTGACCACTAGCAACATTGAAACCATAAGAAATCTTTCTATGTACATATATCATGCTTTTATACAAAGAAAATCAAGTTTGGAAATTATATGATTGTACCAATTGCTCCTGTAATCATGATTGTACTATAGGCCTGTGGCCTCCTCAGTACGTTGAATGAAGAAATTGAAAATAAGAGTGAGTGAGTGCGTGAGTATGGTTTTACGCCGCTTTTAGCAATATTCCAGCAATATCACGGCGGGGGACACCAGAAATGGGCTTCACATATTGTACCCACGTCGGGAATACGAGCGAACGCTTTAACCACTAGGCTACCCGACCGCCCCTTGAAAAGAAGAGTGAAAAGCTGCACAAGTATTTACATACCAGAAATCAACCAAGAAAATTAAATATACACAAAATAAAAGCATCTTCTGAAACACCTTCTGAACTAATCAAATATCCTGTAAAGCACAACATATGTTAGCAAAAGAAGTTTGATTGTCTGGCACTAAACGTTACTCGTTCTTTATGGAAAATGCTGAAGATAACAAATGCAGATGTAAGCCGTCTCTAAATGATTTGTTTGAACATTTTAAGAAACTTATAGCACTATAAATAGGCGTCAGACCGGACTAGTACAAGCAGCCACACACACACGCACACGTGCATGCACGTGCTATAAAAGTGCAATAATCTTAGACGCGACGTTAAATCCAATTTCACCTCACCTCATAATGAGCCAAATGTGTTAACATTATACAGTCCGTTTAAAAGTACAAAAGTGTGTGGGTTAAACAAATTATGTAAGTTTAGTTTAATCACAATGCAAACATAGAAGTTCTCTTTTCTCAGCAACTTCAAAGTTTAATTTCTTAGCTGCCAGGGTACTTTTTCTTTTTTTAACGCCCCTTGGTTTGTCAGCACCAAATCAAATGGGGCAATCGTCTACGACCTAAATACAAAAACAGGCACCGGTAGATATAAGTCGAATTATGTGTGATAAACGCTATCGATTCCCTCACTTACCTTGATATAGCTGGAAAACTGTGCAAGGCGGCGTTTAGTCCAAATTCATTAAAGGTTGACGAGGAGAACAATGCAATAGAAGCGGTGTCCATGTTATGGTGTTTTAGAACTAATTGTCACCTGCTTGAACTGCAGAGATAGTTGTGTCGAGCTCAGGTTTGTCACAAATGCCTACCAATGCACTATTGGCTCTATAGCACATGCTAACTCTACCCTCAATGGGTATGAATAAATATCTATCCTTTATGCAGATGTCCTTGAGGAGGTATTTGTATGGACCGTTGCCTACAGGGCATTATGACCTTCTCAAAGGAGAACACACGATGCAGGAGGATCTTTCATTTGCCTTCACCACTCTCACTGAATATATTTATGGAATTCACGTATTGAAAACACGGCATGTCATTTGATAAGAGTAGCTGGTGCGTTGATATTGGTTGTCACTTGTTTGTGCACTGAAAGTATGAACTTAAGGATAGGTATTTAGTTCATAGTTAGTTAATTGATGGTTAGACAAATACCAGCTCGGAATATAACAAAATAGGCGCTTGTCGGAAAAGGCGATAATAGTTTTGTTTGTTGTTTTACGCCGCACTCAGCAATAGTCCAGCTCTATGGCGGCGGTCTGTAAATAATCGAGTCTGGACCAGACAATCCAGGGATTGATATTATGAGCATCGATCCATGCAATTGGGATCGATGACATTCTTCAACCAAGTCAGCGAGCCTAGGGATCGAGTGGCAAGGTTCTGTAACTGGATATCGTAACTCATGCCTCATTCCCTTCAATCACTGGTTGCCTGGCCCAGACGCCATCATTTTAAGTCCGCACTGATTTAGATGATAATTGCTCGGTGAGGCGGTAAGCAACATAAACCTTTGAGGCATATTGGGCTTTTCTCCTTCATTTAACTGCCATTGTTATGAAATACACACACACACACACACACACACACACACACACACACACACACACACACACACACACACGAACACTAGAACACGCCACAAACAAGTGCACTTGGCCACAACAACGTATCAGACATGATGAAATCTATTTACAAACACAAACAACTTAGTAAAACATACACTAACCAATTAGGAAACATACAACTTAATGGATAACAACTTCAGGTTTATTTGCATTTGGCGACGCTTCGATGTTGATTTTTACACACACACACACACACACACACACACACACACACACCTTGGGGATCTGGTTAGATTGGGTCCATTGCAACCAATATGTTTGTCGTAAGAGGCGACTTAATGGAGAGGGTGGTCAGGCTTGGTGACTTAGTTGATAGTGTGTCAACGTAATCTGACGGCGTGCATCGTTGCGCGTAAAATGAATCACTAAATTGTCTGGCCCAGACTGATAATTTACAGGCAGCTGTCATATATTGGGGATTGTGGCGTTAAACAATGCACAAACAAAGCGGCTTGCCACAAAAAGAACGTGACAGAAAATACGTTAAAAATCTTTGTATATTCTCCGTGATCAGAATGACCGCGAAACGGGTCAGTCTTATCTCCAAGTTCCAGTGACATAGATACCGATCAGTAATCTAGACAGAAACATTCCAGTTGTCGACTCCAGGTCATCTAAGGTAGACATGGAACCACTGCTCACAGACATGTCAGTCCCGGGGATCCTGGGGGCCCTTGTTCTACTGGGTGTGGTGACCCCTCTACGCGCCTCTGTGCTCCCAAACATCGTGTTCATCCTAACAGATGACCAGGATGTAGAACTCAATGGACAGGTAAAGCTACCCCTGACACTGTCAGATCATTGATGATCATTATAAGAAAAGTGAGTCTGGGACTTGGCTTTATAGTGGGCGCACGGGCTTGTGTTGTGACATTCCATCTGCACTTGGTCATTGTTGAAGTGGATATATAAAAATATATACCAGGTTTATGTGGAAGAGTGACACCCGGTAAAGATCCGGGTTGTCGTAAGAGGCGAATATATGGCGACTATGCTTGTCGAGTGGTCAGGCTCGTTGACTTGGTTGATGCATGTCATCGTATCCCAATTGGGTGGGTCGATGCTCATGATGCCAATCACTGGACTGTCTGGTCCAGACTCGATTATTTACAGACCGCCGTCATTTAGCTGGAATATTACTGAGTGCGGCGTCAAGCAACAACAAACAAACAAACAAACTTCAGCAGCCGGATCGGTTGGTCAAACTCGCTGACTTGGTTAATCGATGCATGTCATCGTATCCCAATTGCGTAGATCGTTGCGCTTTTAGGAATATTCCAACCAAATCAAGGTGCGAAACACCAGAAATGGGCTTCACACATTGTACTTACGTGGGGATTCGAATACGTGTCTGCGGCGTGACGAGTCAACGCTTTAACCACTAGGCTACCCACTGCCCTCATGTCATAGGAATTCCAGGTAGTTACCAACACCGTTACTTCAATTCCCAGATTCTTGAATGATTAATTGTGTGAATATACATGTGTGCGTAGGTTTTGCCAAGTGACAAATGCACTACATGCCCTAAAACAAAAGCCGTGATATAACTTAAATTATGTTCACAACAGAGCTGAAATCAACTCACTCTTAAACTGGCTTAAAGCCTCTTTGAACTGAATTTCATTTACTTGTAAATCACGGCGTGTCAGCTTGATGTGACAGGAAAGCCCGAAGTGATGCAGATTGAACATGAAACCCAAGAGCTCAGGTGGTGACACTAGACAAACTTTCTGGCACGCCTTAGAAATGCAACTCTACACAGCGAAATGCAGCAAAAAATAGATTATTGTGTGAATATTTTTATTCAGGATCCTATCGTCAAAACACGAGAACTGATCGCTGCCAGAGGCATGACATTCACACACATGGTGAGAAACCTTAACTTATACATTTGCCAATTGTGAAACCCCGTTATTCTGGAACATTCAGTCCGGAATCCCCCCCCCCCCCCCCCCACACACACACACACACCTCCCGTCCCCTATCGCACGACTACTGTTATCTGCGTCTCTGTGTCGTGTCACTGTTGTCAACATTTATTTCACTGAAATACTGTTTTAAATAGTGTTTATCGAAACTCACGCATTAAAGTGAAACTTTACAATACCCCTCGCATGTTTTCACGTTGAGATTTCTGGCAAGTGAGTGAGTGAGTTGGGGCCAACGTCGCATTGAACAGTAATTCCGTTACATTACGGCGTCTGGGTTTTATGTGGGTGGGAATCCCAAAGTGATACATGTCTTGAACCGGGCTTCAAACCGATGATCACAGGTATCTCGCACGCCTAAGGGACGCAACTTTGCGGTGCCTTGGACGGCTTGGTCACCCGTGTCACCTTTCTAGCAGAATTTGAAATCATATAATTGTTTACATTTTATCGCTTGGAATTTGAATTCTTGATGAACACTAGGCTAATTTAATTACGGCTGTGTAACGGTGTGTAAGAATTTGAGAACTTTGTACTGTATTACCCAAAGGGAAAATAGAAGACGTCACTGTAAACATGAAAACGTCAATTATCGGTATATGGCCATTGGACGAAAATGCAATGGAAAAATCTTTGAAATTGAATTGATTAGAAAGCGTCGAAAATTGCAGAGATGTAGAGGTGGGGGCATTGTCAAGGAATGCTTGCCGTAAAAGGCGACTACGCTTTTAAGAGTCGACTAACGGATCGGGTGGTGAGGCTCACTTACTTGGTTGGTTCATGTCATCGTATCCCAGTTGCGTGGATCGATGCTCATAATGTCAATCACTTGATTGTCTGGTCCATTATTCAAGCTTCTGATATCAAACATGTATTACAAGGATATTGACTTTTTCATGGATGCTATTTATGAGATGAAGTTTGCGGTTTCTACAAACGTAAGGATTATTTTTGCAATTTGACTTGTAGAATATGTTCCTGGTGAACACACAACTTGCTTTTACATGTGTTTGAGACGGGTGGAGTAGGGTACGCTCACCCTTTCCTTTATTGAAATTGTGAACAACGACCCACGCCATCGGGGTACACGCAATCTACCAAATCAACAAGCCTGACCACCAGATCCATTTTGTAGCCTGTTTCGACCAGCATACAATACAGGGTAAAAGTCTTTTACTTTATTTCTCATCATTTCCGTAGAAAATTCCGAGTTTGATACAATTCCTGCATAGCTACCCAAACACGACGCAGAACAACTGCGAATTATCCGCGAATATTTAGGCTAGGACATTTAGGCAAGAAGCATAAGCGAACGAGTCAGAATTTCTGCTGGGATTGTCACAATATTTACATGGGAATTTGGCCACGAAGTTTAACTTAAACTTAAAGTTATATCGATGATCTGATATCGTTCAATATTGGTCAAATAGCCAATTTCCTTCCACTGATTTAGCAACCGAAGCTAGAAGTAAAAAAGCCCAGTGAAACCGCCTGATTTCCCTCACATTTAGATCTCTGCATAAAGATTCAGAGTAACAAAAAACTATCCAGGAGACTGTATGGCAAGAGGGATGACTTCAACTTTCCAATAGTCAACTTCCCCTTTATGTTGAGCAATATCCCACGGGGGGCACGGGGGGCCCAGTCGTCTAAGGCGCCGCGATTCGCTGTTCAGAGTTGCGTCCCGTGGGCACGCCAGAAACCTATCATTGTGGGTTTGAATCCCGGTTCGCCCCGGGTATGTTTCTAGGTTTGTCGGCACCAGACTCGATTATTTACAGACCACCGCCATAAACCTGGAATATTGCTAAGTGCGGCGTTAAACAACAAACAAATAAACCAAACATCAGTTTATTTATAAAGCTAACATACAAGCCAAAAGAAACGATGTGGGTTGATCTTTAATCAAATATTCATGTCGAAATAAATATGAACAACTTTATTAGGGTAGGAATATAATAACCACAGTCATAACAAAAACACACTTACAAGAACATCAAATGTTATAAGCTCTTCTACTTCTGTCTCCTTACAATCCTTAGTTCATTGATTAGTTTCATGCGACCTGTCCCAGCCTCACCTACATGTATAAACCCATTTTCCGGTACCGGTATTGTTCAAATTTACATTTTCGCGGAATCGAGCGATACCCACAAAACACCTAATTAAGATCATAAGACAGTAAATTAGTTATTGAGAACTCGGTGGATTATTCACAAAGTTAACTTTTTTTTGCCTTTTGGTGTTGGTTGCTGGAAATCCCAACGGTGTTAAATCTCAAGGATAAACGATTAACAAATACAAGAGAATGAAATGCCACAGTATTCATATTAGGCATAATGTTCAGATAAACATATATGATATCATAGTGTTTTAGAAATAAATATTTGACGTGGACAAAGCTTATCAGTTTTTGCGACATATATATCAATATCTTGAAACGAACAAAGAAAAGGTGTTCATGTTATTTGATTGTACTTATTTATACAACATTACCTTTCGTCTCAGCCCATTAGACCAATTAGTCAGCTGGACCCATATAAAAGAAAACACATAATATGCGCCATAGTTTATAGGACTAGATATATTTCCCACACAACGACCGTAGTGTCTATAATTAATATAGAGCTCGGTGAATCATGAAGGCCTCACAATTAGATGTTGGATACGAAAGCTTATTGGGGTCAAAAATTGAAATATGGAAAAGACACGAAAAGAAATTCGTTATAACGGAAAAAAGATTCGTTATTACGAAAATAAATTCGACATTTTGATTTGTGAAACGTTTCCTGAAAGCAACATTTTCATGCAGCTTTCGTGACTATTAATACATGCAGCTTCGTGGAGGTCTCCCTGCATCACACACTCAAGTTGGTTTTGCAAGCTTTCTTTCAGGTCCCAGATCTGAATATCATTGAAAGAACTGCTCTGCGCTCAAACTTTGGTGGTGTAACTTTGACGCACTGTATCGATGTCCTGTGTGCTGATTGTCGGTTTGGATATTATCCTCCATAACATATCATATGTTGGAATCATGTAAAGTGACAATGTTACGGTGTCAATGAAATATCAAACAGCAGATACTTCCTAATATGTTAAATTAAGAAGGTACTATGAAAATAACAAATAGATAAAACAAAGTTAATCTTACCTCATAAACAAAGGTGAATAGTATGAAAGTGAGTGTAGCTCCTGCAGCGATAAAGTGAATGGGTTGTTATGGGGTCCATGTGTTTTTTGTATGGGCGAGTCCCCTGTCTATTACATATACAGTCCCTTTTAATGTTAACTGAAAACTGCACCTTGCTTCGAAAAAGAATGTTTGGATGACAACACAAGCGAACGACCTGGGTCACACTTCCACGATTTACATCTTTAGAACCTAGGACTAGGGTGGCTTTTTAAAAAATTGCGAACCCCTTTTTTTTTTCGTGCGTGTAAATCCTGGCGACTCTTAATAATAGTCGTGCGTTGTTGCATTACAAATTGGATTTTATATCCAGTCATGGTACACTTGAATCAGAATTAACATAATCATACCTTCAGATCGTGAGAACTCTTTATAACATTGCGGTCGGTCGGGTAGCCTAGTGGTTTAAGCGTTCGCTCGTCCCCCTGGTGTCCCCCGCAGTGATATTGTTGGAATATTGCTAAAAGCGGCTTAAAACCATACTCACTCACTCACTCACTTTATTACATTGTGCTTATCTTAATGGCGCGTTTGCCATCTGACGCAAGACGGATTTCTGTCAAAGATTATACAAAAATAAGCTTTTGTTCAGTTTAAGTTTATTTAAACCCTGAAATGTATGACATTTGTTTGAAAGTTTACCGCAATAATAATGGTTGCCTTCTTGCCGGTTCATCACAAGCGGAAACGGCTTGACCTAGTTTTCGACCTGAATAGGGAACTGCGCTCATTTACTGTGGAAAGACATTGCTTATCAAATTCAGTATGAAAGGGAGGTAATCGTATAGTTGTGAAAAACATGGTTTAAGATGTAAGACAGGAAATGAGTTGAACCAATATGGTTCATATTGTTTTAAACATGCCTGTGTTGATTACATATTTAGGAAATTATTTTATCTTGAATATAATTTGTCGAACAAAGAGTTTGCCGCCGTGTTGATGCATTGCATCAAGCGTTTTCGTGTAGTTATATGATACTACCCATTGTCAAGCTCGGAAATGTGTGAGGAACTCTGTTGTGTCTACTGACCACACGTCACTGGCTTGCAGACAGTTTTATTACAAATCCTTCTAGACAGGGTATTATCTGTGAACAATTGAATTGGTCATTCCAAGACAGCATGGGGCTTTATTCGTTTTCTAACTACATATTGGGTTCAGTACTTTGGTTATGTTGGTTAAGTTTTATTTTATCACATATCACTGGCAACCAATTAAGATCGTCAGTATGTTTTATTCTGGCACTTCTAGGTGAGGTGAAATGGGGTTTAACGTCGCGTCCAAGATTTTTGCACTTATATAGCGACGTGCATGCACGTGTGTGTGTGTGTGTGTGGCTGCCTGTACTAGACCGGACTGATGCCGATTTATAGTGCTAGCACACTGAGATACCATGCCGGAGTTTAACATGGATACCCCACTCAGGCACAGTATACTGACTCCGAGCCGACCAGTCCTTGCTTTAACCCCTTAATGCCGAGCGCCAGACAGGGTAACAACAAGTACCATCTTTTAACGTCTTTTGATCTGTTACTTCTATGAGAAGCACCATGACTAACACTTGCCCTGAATGTTTGAACACGTGAAAAATCGCCATTTAAAAAAAACAACAAATGCAAGTGACACGAGAGGAGGAATCTGATTGGTCAATAGGAGGGACACAGCAGGGACGTAACACGTTATAGCCATTTTGAGCCACGACAAGGGTGTAAAATGGACCTTGCCTCGGGAAGATGGCTAAGACACTAGA